GATAGATAGATAGATAGATAGATAGATAGATAGATAGATAGATAGATAGATAGATAGATAGATAGATAGATAGATAGATAGATAGATAGATAGATTTGATTCAGCCTTTTATTGCTCTCATATTTTATTGGATTTCTACTCTCTAATAACACATTTACTACGTGTTGGCTACCTGTGATCCCAAATGATGGAAGGGCAGTAAGGAGCGAGCATAAAGTATTAGAAATATGCATCTTATATGCATTTATAAATATATTCAGGCTATGGGAGGCACTGAACGTCAAACGCACGAGCTCCTGATTGGCTGGCTGGTCGTTACCTTACCAAACAGGGAAGTGACGTAAGAGCAACTACACAGCGACAGTTTCTGTTTTTGCCGAGGGAGCCCGTTGCCGCATGCAGTCGGCTGGGGAGTACACCGCAACCTCCGCACGGTCCGCCACGCTCTGAACAAAGCTATGGCGCCCTGGTCTTTGCCGCTCTCGTCTCTTCTGAAACACACGGACTGTCTGCAGAGGGCCAATATTTTCTGTAATGTCGTACAGGGGTTACACCACCACTACCATCCGGTAAGGTCTCGGTTATGGAAACGGAATTTCAGAGCGGTGTCCCAGGGAGTTGGTCAGCTACTCTCCCACGAGCCCAGAGCCGGAAAGTGCGCAGCATCTGTTTGTAGCAGCTCCTTAGACGGTCAGAACACGACAGAGAGGCTGTGGTCTGTTTACGATGAGACCAAAAGACAAACTGGAGGTAAGGTCACTGTTCACAGTGAGGCGGCTCCTCATTAATAATTACAGCCCTGCCCTAAATACAAAGCTGCTGTTTCTTTATAACTCTGTCATGGCTTGTGTTTCCTGCTGACTAACTACATCTCGCCATTCCTCTATATTAATAGCTTCTCAGACAGCAGACTCTAAATGTGGAAAATAGGTTGTACCTGTAACTTGATTTATTTGTGTATCACTGATGCTAACAAATCCCCAATGTCTACATTTCGGAACCTTAAAACCTGCATGTTTTTATTTATTGCATTACTGATTAATGATCTTTTTTAAAGGTCAGAATTTGTTGGGAAGTTGACATTGAAGGGTTAAATCAACACTGTGCTGATGTTTGACTGAGGTGTTCTTTTACACACCTTTTGTCCACTCCTGAATGAGAGTAACCTTGGGAGTTGGTGTGATTAGCACTGTTGCCTCACAGGAAGAAGCTTCCCGGTTTCCTCCACATGTTTTAGCTTCCTTCCACATTCCAAAGACATTCATGTCAGGTGAGTTGGTGACTCTAAACTGGCCATGGATGTGAGATAGATAAAATATTTTAGGTGCATAGAATCAAGAGCTGTATGAATGCACCCCCCCCCCCCTTTTCTAATGTATTAGTTTTTACATGTTTGTCACAATTACATATTTTCAGATCCTCAAAAACTTATATTCACTTCTTCTGATTACTATAAATGATTTTAATAATGCTATAAATAAAATAGACGTGACAGTCAATGTAGGCAATATACTTATTAATTATAGATGAAATATATACAATAATGCAAGAATTTATTATAAATATTTTTTAAAAACACAGATGTTAATAATTGCTGTACATGTGTCTGTGCAAAGTTTTGCTGAGATTGGCCCACTTGTTAAGAAAGAGGTAGGATATATACAGATACATTCCTCATCTGTATTATTGTATATATTTCTGAATTCAAATAAGCTGAAGAAAGCTCTTGTGTTTTTATTTTTCTTCTCAGATCTGATCTCCGTTATAACTGCCAACTCTGTCGACCCAGACACTATTTTTGCCAACAATGAGATGAGCCTGCGAGACATAGAGATCTACGGGTTCGACTACGACTACACTCTGGCATTCTACTCCAGCCATCTCCACACTCTCATCTTCAACATAGCACGGGACATCCTCGTCACTAACCACCGGGTGTGTGTTGTGATTGATTCTACAACCTGACACTACTGATTAAGTCACCCCTCCGCTCAACCATAACTGGTTGCCCACACATGGCCACCCATCCCTGAGCCCGGTTCTGTCCGGCTTCTTCCTTTGAAAAGGGAGTTTTTTTCTTTCCACTGTCACCAAATGCTTACTCGTACGGGTCATCTGATAGTTTGGGTTTAGGGTCTTTACCAAACAAGCCAAAGCGTCTTGAGGCAGTGGTTGTTGTGCATTGGCTAAAAACAAAGCAAGTTAATTTATGTAACAGATTCTTAAAGGTTGTCAGTGTGCTAAGGTCTAAACGAAGCTACAACCCTGTTTAAGCTCCATGTGCAAAAGTACATTTACTTTTGTGGGTAATTTATGTTGCTCATTGGTTTTAAGTAAACCTAATGCTTTTCTTGTCACTAAATGTAAACCTTTGTTTTTTTTAAAGTATCCAGAGGGCCTGCGAAAGTACGAATACATTCCAAGTTTTGCTGTAAGAGGACTTCACTATGACGTCCAAAAGGTGAGAGTGGAGCTTCCATTGTCTTAAACTGTTTAGACAATCTAAGATCGATGTGAGGACCATCGGTATGATGATTATATTTAATCATTTTTAGGCATTACTGATGAAGATAGATGCTTTTCACTATATCCAGTTGGGAACTGTATACAGGTATGTGTGCACTTTGTTAATTCCATGTCTGAGTAGTGACCATTTATATGACGATACAAATGACATGCTGTTTAGGAATTTACATTGTTTAATGTTTTTGATTCAGAGGTCTTCATCCAGTTCCTGACGAAGAAGTAATTGCCATGTATGAAGGCTGCCATGTTCCTCTGGAGATCATGAGTGACTTCTATGGCAAGGTGATCAGCACTTCCACACTGTCATGTCTCCACACAGATACTGTAACAAACATAATAATTATGATAATGACTTCCCTGCAGAGTTCACATGGCCATACGATGAAACAGTTCATGGACATATTCTCCCTGCCTGAGATGACCCTTCTGTCGTGTGTCAACGACTTCTTCATGAGGCACAACATCGACTATGAGCCAGTCCATCTCTACAAAGATGTAAAGGTCAGCTGTCTTGTTATCGCTGTACCTTGTTTTAATGCAATGATTTAACAGCACTCTCTTTTTCCTGATTGGATCTCGAAAAAGGCCAGTGTGTGTGTGATGAGAATAAATCCAGCCACATGTTCATGACTGTAACTGTATTTACATGTTTCCAGGGAGCGCTGTGGTACTCCAGCCATTCGGTTCCATCTTATATTTAGATCTGAAAAGCAATGTCTAATTTTAGTCAAGCACGCTCGCTTGCAGCCATGTGCGTCTGTTCTCTGGTGGCTCCACGACTTCACAGGGAGACCGGCGAAAAATCAGATCTGCGTTCTCCCTTTGAGGCCAACTGTCACGGTGGGCCTCTCAGTTCTGTGTCACACTGTAGGGTATTTGTCAGATCGCTGTCTTTAAAAAGTCCTCACACTGACTCTCTGTTCCGCTAATGCTTCTCATGTTTGCTCAAGGACACCCCCTTCCTCCATTTTTTAATTACTTTCAAGCCCATTTTATTATTTTTTACTTCTTTTGTGCATCAAACAATCTTTGTAAATGTTAAACATCCTAAGTTTTCCCTGAGGGGATCAGGATTTCAGGGGAAAGTTTACTCGCACACTCATTGATTCAAACACTTTCTCAGTGTGTCACCAAAGAAACTAAACTCTGGGGCTTTCTTTCTTGATATTCATTTGTATTCACAGATGCACTTGCTTTGTGCTTCTAAGTCAACTGTTTATATTCACAGCAAAGTTGCTATTGGACCTGAATGTTAACATAGCGTCGCTGAAGTTATAGCTTGTGACTAACGGCTGTTTACTTTTCTTCACAGGAAGCTATTAGGGATGTTCATGTCAAGGGCATAATGTACCGAGCTGTGGAGGCGGATATTGGTAATTTTACTTTGATTTATATTACTTAGTTTGAACTAATGAAAGAAACGATATGGCCACATCTGAATAGTTGCCAAGAAATAAAAACACAATTTAGGCTTAATGAAGCTGTGATTTACAATTAAAAGCATAGGGTTTCTTTTCCCCCTCTCTCTTTTCAGAGAAGTACATTTGCTATGGTGAGCAAAGCCACGCTGTGCTGAAGAAGCTGTCAGCGCAAGGAAAAAAGATGTTCCTCATTACCAATAGCCCTTTTGACTTTGTGTAAGTGAGAGCAAACAGAGTGCAAGTGTTTGTTGACGTGATTAATTAAAAATGTCGTGTATTGGTGTACTAATGTTTAATTGGTGCCGCTTTATAATGCCCCAAGTTTTATGGATGGGCAAACACACATCAGCAGGCTGGTGTTTGTAATTCTTTGTAAATCATTCACTGTGAAGCCTTTTGAAGTGTCTTTTTTTCCAGAAATATAACAAGCTTGTGCGTATCCAACCTCGAAAGGTTGAAAAATCACTGAAATTATGTCTTTGATATAATATTTTGTTACACTGAGTTATCAGGATGGGCCTGATGTGTGCTACAATGTGCACGATCTCGTGTTTTTATTAATGTCGTAATTGGAAGAATGGGCTTCATAACTGTGTTAGTAAATGTGTAAATGTTAAAATGAGATGTTGATATTTTAATTAACAGGCAATCTAAGTTGTGCCCAGCTGGGTTTGGATTTGACTGTCCTCCATTTTTATGAATTAACAGGTGGACCAATTTGCAAGTTTAACTGAGTTTACGCTAGCCTAGTGCTGCATTGACATGCTAATCCAGGTGTAAAGCTATGCCCTAAGCTTAGTGTTATTGCACCCTCACAACGAGCTCTAAGGCGCTGCTGACAAAGTAAAAAGCGGAATCTTTGTTTGCTGCAGGGATCGAGGAATGAACTTCATCGTAGGAAAAGACTGGAGGGACTTGTTTGATGTTGTCATTGTTCAAGCTGATAAACCTAGTTTCTTTAATGACAGGAGGAAGTAAGTAATATGCTTCTCATACTATCTTCATGTTATGTTTTAGGGCACTTAAATAACACATGCCAGTGTGGCTACATTGTGTTGATCGTTGTATAAAAATGTGCATCGCTTTACTAAATATCCAATTTGCCGTTTTGTTTTAGACCTTTCAGGCGAGTGACAGACAAAGGTGTGCTGCTGTGGGACAGAATTCACAGGCTGGAAAAAGGGCAGATCTATAAACAGGTACTGTGCCCATTTAACAATTCTAATAAATCCCACTGGATACACTGCATGATGAAACAAATGGTTAATCTTTCTTTCTGTATGACTTTGGTATTCAGGGAAACCTTTATGAATTCCTCAGGCTGACCGGCTGGAGAGGATCCAAAGTACTCTACTTTGGAGATCACATCTACAGCGACTTGGCAGTAAGTTGCATATTTATAACAAAGCATTAAAACTACACCAAGGCCTGCAGTGTTAAAATTATTGTACTATTAATACAAACAAAGAGTGGAACCCCGCTTTGACCATGCAGTGCTTTGATAATGCTCCGTTTAGTATGTTTTCCCAGAACTCAAAGGTCTCAGGCTGGATTATTCTTTACAACAATCTAAGTCTTACCTGTTCTGGAAGAAGACAACAGGGTGTGAAATATACAACTAAATGCACTGAAGCCTAGTTACTTAGACGCTGCATTGGGTTTGGCTGATAAATTAAAGGGAGACTTTTTAATAAGAGCACAGCATCAGGTCAGGGTATTGATCTGGTCAGTTAAGTAGCAGAGGGGGTTGTTAATAGGTTTTAGTTGCTTTCATGTTAATTACATTAACAACAGGTGCACTAGTGGAGCAACAATAAATCTACCCCCAAAACAGGAATGGTATTACAGGTGGAGGCCACAGAGATTTTTTTCCCTCCTCATATTTTCTGGCTGTTTTTCACTAGTTTTGCAGTAGTCCCACTCCTCCTCCTCCTCCTCCTCCTCCTCCTCCAAGTCCTCCAGTCATACATGCAATTTCCATAAGGTTTACTGTGTCTCCCAGCACAGTCTCAGGAGCATGGAGGAGATTCCAGGAGACAGGCAGTTACTCTAAGAGGGCCAGACAGGGCTGTAGATCTGTTTTTGCACAAAAGAGCAGATACAGAGGAACAGGATGAGAATGCCAGAGCTGCAAAATGACCTCCAGCAGGCCATTGGTGTGAATCTGACCAGACAAGTAGAAACAGACTCCATGAGAGTGGCTTGAGGGCTCAATTGGCATTTGCCATAGAATACCAGAAGGGCACCCTGTGCTTTTCACAGATGAGGTTCACCCTGAGCACCTGACAGACATAAAAGGGTCTGGTTTGGGCTTTATAATTGTGGAGAACGTTATGCTGCCTCTAATATTGTTCGGCATGACTGGTTTGGTGGTGGGTCAGTGAGGTCTGGGGAGGTATATCCATTGAGGCAGGGACAGATCTCTACAGGCTAGCTGACGACACCATGATTCCCATTAGCTATCAGGATGAAATCCCTGGACCCATTGTGAGAACCTACTCTGATGCAGTGGGTGCTGGGTTCCTCCTGGTACATGACAATGCCTCATGTGTGAGAGTATGCAGGCATTTCCTGGAGGATTACATAATTGATACCACTGACTGACCTCAATGTTCGGCTGATCTGAATCCAGCAGAACACCTCTGGGACATTATGTTTTAGTCCATCCAACGCAGCCAGATTGAACGTTAACTGTCCAGGAGTTCAGTAATGCCCTTGTTCAGATCTGGGAGATTCCCCAACCGTTGTCTCATTAGAAGCATGGCCCAATGTTGTCAGGCATGCATGTAACCACATGGGCACCATACAAACTACTGAGTGTAGATTGATCATTTTGATTTTCATCAGATGATCTGGCTTCCTTTCATTCCTAACACATTACACAGTAGGTATCAGTACAGATATCCAGTAGGATTTTTTTCCCCCCATTGACATTTGATGTGTTTTTAAAGTGATCACTTAAGTTTGTATGACACACCTGCTGTATAGATAGATAGATAGAAAGAAAGAAAGAAAGAAAGAAAGAAAGAAAGAAAGAAAGAAAGAAAGAAAGAACTTTATTAATCCCTCGGGTAGGTTCCTCTGGGAAATTCACTCATGAGTAGCACAGCACATCACCACCTCTTATCTTTTCATGCCTGTAACTCAGGAACTGGCAACAGCTTGGACAAAGCAGGTTACATATATGTATAAACTTGATTAGCAGTAAAAGCTGATAATGAGAGGTAGATTTTATATCGTTGGCATGATGCCTTGCAGGTGGCAGGCAGCCAGGAGTCAGTTATGTCGTCTTGCTTGTTTAGAGAGATGGAAGCTGGCATTTTGTAGTTTACACTAGTCACAGCTTACACTCAGGCTGTCTGGCTGTGGAATGACCTCATTGCTGCAAGTGGGCACAGAGTAGAAACATTTCTGAGTTTCCTCTTTTTAATTACTCAAGTCCAAAACATGTTCCCGCTTTGGATGTGTTGCAGATGGCATTTTCAGAGGTCATGTTCCTCTTAACTAGCAGATGAAATTGTTATAGTTTAGTTCTGGTTATCTGTCTTTACTTAGACGTACTACCGTAAGTATGAAACACTGTGTGTTCTGTGTTTATTATTGTTTAATCAGAATCAGAATCGTGTTTATTGGCCAAGTATATGTGCAGACACATACAGGGAATTTGGTTCCGGTAGCACAGCAATGTAACACACGCACGCACGCACACAAAGCTGTGTAAACCAACTATAAATAACTAATCTAAACTTATATGCATAAAATACAGAAATGAATGAGGTGGAATGAATACTACAGAATCTACATAAGGTGCAGCTGCAGTCTGGCAGTGGGAGCAGTGTGACAGGTCAACTGTTTAGAAGGGAGATGGCGAGGGGAAAGAAACTGTTCCTATGTCGGGTGGTCCTGGTCTGCAGGCTTCTGTACCGTCTGCCAGAGGGCAGCAGATCAAAAAGTCTGTGTGCATGGTGTGAGGGGTCTGTGATGATTTTCCCTGCCCGTTTCCTGGTTCTTGAGAGGTACAGATCCTGGATGGAGGGCAGGGGGTTACCGATGATCCTTTCTGCTGCCCGTACAGTCCGCTGCAGTCTGCTCCTGTCCTGTTTAGTGGCTGCACCATACCAGACAGTGATGGAGGAGCACAGGACAGACTCAAATGATTTATTTCCTCCATACCCTGTGCTAAAGATTCACGGCTCAAGCCCCAGACTGAAGGAGTATATTTCTAAATTATTGGCCTATCATGATCATGAAGATGGATCTACTGATCTTTTGTTCAACAGGATCTAACACTGAAACATGGCTGGAGGACGGGTGCCATCATTCCTGAGCTGAGGAAGGAGATTAAGATCATGAATACACCAGAGTACGTCCACATGATGACCTGGTTACAGTCACTGACTGGACTTATTGAACAGATGCAGGTCAGAAACCTAGTATATCATCCCTCCTCTTAGTCTTTTATTTGTATTATTATTGTTATTGTACTTTATAAACTTTAATTTCATTCTTAAAGTTTTTTTGGTTCACATTTATGCACTGCTCTCTAACAGGTGCACAGGGATCCAACGTCTCGAGCTGTGGTCGAGGAGTGGATCAAAGAAAGAGAAGCCATGAAGTAATAACAAAATGTTTTATTTATCTAAAACCATTTTGGATAATTTTTAGAGATATTGTGGAATCGATCTAACCATATCTCGATGGTTGTGTTTTCATATATTACAGGCCTCAGACCAAGGACATCTTCAATGCTCAGTTTGGAAGTCTCTTTCGAACATACCACAACCCCACTTACTTCTCACGCCGACTCTCGCGCTTCGCTGACATCTACATGGCCTCCATCAGCTGCCTGCTCAACTACGACTTCCAGCACACCTTTTTCCCTCGCCGTACTCCTCTGCAGCACGAAGCCTCCTACTGGCCCGAGCACGGTTCTGCCGGTTTAGGTGCCTCCTCTCCAGCTCCACAGGACCAAAGCAGAGTGTGATTAGCAACAGAAAACCACCGTAAAAAGCAAAACGCAGAGGCTGAATGATCTCAATCATTCGTTCATTTATTTAATTTTATTTTCTTCAGCATGCCACATTTTGAAGTGAGCTCCAATGGTGACAGTTGATGTAAACTGTTTATAAAATTTGTGCTTTAAATTAGTAATTTATGTCCTTGTAAAACAACAAGTCTTAAGATGAGTAGTTTGTGTTTGACAGAATTGTTTAATTAAATGAATAGATGATTTTATGCAGTACAAACAACAGGGGGCAGTCACGCACCGTTTTTGTTTTCTCCTATTTCGAGCTGTGAATTGCACACAAATCATCTATGCCTTTTATGTCCTTTGCATCTGTGGGTGTAATGGATATTTACAGTTACATTACAGACTGCGTTGCCTTAATCCCTTTGTTTACGTTACAGCAGTATTTTTTTTTTTGCAACACCCTGATATAACTTTGTTGCAATTAGCTTTTTCAGAAAAACATTTGCCAGCCACAATCTCCGTTGATGTCATTATTTGCTGCACATTGTCAAGCAAACTGCACTTTGATGTTCTGAGACGTTTAATAGTTTTAGGAGTTCTCACACAGCACAGCCTGTATGTCTCATTTTAGCAGGTGAGAAATGTTCAATTTTCTCAGGAGAAAAAAAAATAGAACATCATCGCTATATTTAGCATGAATGTTGCTTTTTGATGTGTGAAGGAAGCTGCGTTTTGGGTTTGTTAGGTTTGACACTTTTGTAGGAGATGAGTAAAATGTTTTGTGCTGTAACCGTGGCTATATTTTATATATATATGCTGGAGTTTTTAAAAAAGGAATATCAAAGGGAAAATTACAGTGGCCACAACCATGACCTCATAGTCTTGGTCTGTAGTTTAAATGATGTGTTTATGAAGTGTTTACTTACGGTCTATTTCATTATTTATTAAACTGGAAATGGCCTGATCCTAACCCAGTGATTATGTCGTCATTTAAAAGGGCATGATCTGATCTGCCGACTTAATTAGCACGTATGTGTTCACTGAATGAGTAATCCATTCATTCTTTGCTTATGTTATTGGTATTATTACCTATACAAACAACAAAAGGTTTCATAGTTGAAATTTAATTTTCAGGACTAATTGCACCGGTGTTAATAACCACTCGAGTTTCTAATTACAGTTATAGCAGAGGGTTTATTGGGATTAATCCCCCACCCAAATCGTGTTACTGACTAATTTACCGTATTGCATCTGGGGCTTTAACTGTCAGGCAGGTGCAGGCTCTGGGATCTTAGAAAGAAAAAAAAGAAGCCTAGTGCTTTGACAGGGATCAAAAATGATCAAACCAATGATATTGGCTCCTGAGCTGAGGAGAGAGTATCTGGGGGTTCAGTCCCTGACCTCATAGATGCTTCATTAAGGCTGGATAGTTTGGGCACCATGGACACCAACAGCACACCTCTGAGCTCCAGCTCTCCATTCCCTTCCATCCAAACTGAGGTGGTGACCGTACCACCAACCATCTTCCCTCATGTGGGCTACAGCATCCTTTCTTTCCTCATGTTCATCAACACGGTGCTATCAGTGTTTAACAACAGTGTGGTCATAGCTGTGATGCTGAGGAATTCGGCTCTCCTACAGCCAATGAACGTTTTGATCCTCAGCCTCGCTGTGTCTGACCTCATGATAGGCCTTTGTGGCTCCCTGGTGGTCACCATCACAAACTACCAAGGCTCCTATTTTATTGGACACACAGCCTGTGTGCTCCAGGGATTTTCAGTCAATTACTTTGGTAAGTTTAGTTGTTATATGCGGTGTTTTTGTATGTGTGTGTTTCTGGAGTTCAGACTTTCTGTCTGTCTTACTGTCTTTGGTCCATAAATTCACATTATATTCTACCATTCTTATGCAGGTGACACTCAGTTGTATCTATCATTTTACTCTGATGATCTAAATTCTGTTCTCAAACTAATGAGCTGCATTGATTGCCGTATGACTTGAAACTTTTTACAACTGGACAGGGACAAGACAGAAATACTTGTAGTTTCTTATTTATTATCCCTGTCTCTGAAACACAGTGAGCAGTGAGCTGAGTCAGGGACCTTGGCATTATTTTGGACAGTGATCTCAGTTTTGATAATTACTCATTTAACCAGAACTGCTTTCTAGCACTCAAAAATATATTAAAAGTTGGAAAATTCTTATCTCAAACTGACTTTGAGAAACTGGTTCATGCTGTCATATCAAGGATGTTCGAATATTATAACGCTGTGTTTTCAGGACACTCCAAATCATCAGTAGAATTACTTCAACTCATTAAAAACGCAGCAACCAGAATTCTTAAAGGTATGAAGGACAATGATACCCCACTATTGAAGGCACTGCACTGGCTCCCAGTACAGCATGGAATTACCTTTTAAATCTTTTTAATAGGTCACAAAGCTCTTAATGGTTTGAACACCCCCAGTACATCTCTGACTTGCTCACTGTTTATGACCGAGTCAGACCTCTCTGGTGATCAGGTGTAGATCTTGACGTTCCTAGAATCAGATCCAAATATGCTGATGGTGCTTCTTTTAGATACTGTTGTCCTGCTCTTTGGAACAAGCTGCCTGCTGACCTGAGATCAGTTACATCTGTGGCAACATTCAAAAATAGACTCAAAACCTTTTTTGTTCAAACAGACCTAGACACAGAGGTTTATATGTTTGTTTCTTCTGTTAAGCACATTGAGTTTACACATAATAAAATGTAGTGTATGAATCCAGTTGCCACTGTCATTCTGTCACAGTGAGACATACTAATTAAAATTACTACCGGTAATGCTTTAGATTTCTAGAAAATTTAATTTTATTTATACAGTGCCAAATCACAACAACCGTTGCCCAGGGAGCTTCATATTGTAAGGTAAAGACCCTACAATAATCGAGAGAAAATTATCCTTGTAAGCAAGCATTTAACAGCGGAAAGGAAAAACTCAATTTTAACAGGAAGAAACCTCTAGAAGAACCAGACTTAGGGAGGAGCCTGAAAGTTGAAGGCTCTGCTTCCCATTCTGCTTTTAAATATCCTGGGAACCAAGAAACATTAGAAAATCTTACATTTTTGGAGCATCTTTTTTAGCATTTCAAGAAATGACTTTTGTTTCTTTTGTGTTTTATGAATGTTTTCTTTGCATGTAGAGTTTAGTCACGTGTCAGATTTATCAGATATCTTCTTCATGACACCCGAGCATACTCAAAAATCATTGGAGTTGATAACTCTATAAAAGAAAAGAACTCCAAGTATGCCTTGAACTGTCTAAATGTCAGTTATGTTTTCTTGTTGTTGTCTTGTCTAGGTTTGGTGTCTCTCTGCACTCTTACTCTTCTTGCCTATGAGCGATACAATGTGGTATGCAAGCCAAAAGCTGGTTTAAAGCTGAGGATGCGGAGAAGCATCTTTGGCTTGCTGTTTGTCTGGATCTTCTGCTTGTTTTGGGCTGTGGCGCCATTATTTGGCTGGAGCTCCTACGGACCTGGGGGGGTCCAGACATCCTGCTCACTGGCCTGGGAAGAGAGATCATGGAGCAACTACAGCTATCTCATTTTCTACACACTCCTCTGCTTCATTATTCCAGTTGCAATCATCATCTACTGCTACTTTAAACTGCTGAAATCCATGAATAAGGTGGGTGTGTAATAGCTTTTGCTTATTCATTACGCCATTTAAGCAACATTTAAAATTCATGCATCTATCTATGTTTGCTTGCAGTCTACCGCATGCATAGTAAAACAAGTAATTAGCTTTTAATGTGGCCCAACGTTGCTCTCTTCTAGCTGAACAGGAGTGTGGAGCTACAAGGTGGGCGTTCCAGCCAGAAAGAGAATGATCATGCCATCAGTATGGTGTTGGCTATGGTAGTAGCATTTTTTGCCTGCTGGCTGCCCTACACAGCATTGTCATTGGTGGTAGTTATAGATCCAGAGCTGCACATTCCTCCTCTAGTTGCCACCATGCCAATGTACTTTGCCAAGACGAGTCCAATCTACAACCCCATCATCTACTTCCTTTCCAACAAACAGGTAAAAGCACACAGGTACTGTAGAACTGAGATAAAATCTTGATTGTGAACAAAGATTGAAGAAACACTGTTTGTGAAGTTATTGCTCATATTTCCTGACAGTTCTTGTTCTTGGTTGTTTTTTTTTTCCTATCAGTTCCGTGATTGTGCTCTGGAGGTGCTGTCTTGTGGCCGTTACATTCCTCATGGGTCCACCAGTGTCAGCATCCGCATGCACTCTGTGAACAAGGGGAGCTGGCTGTCCTCCTTTGGCAGAAGTGTCAACACACACAGCAAGGTGTTGCCTCTGTGACAAAAAAAAGCTGTCATGGTTGTCTGCGTTCACTGGTGCCTCATCAAGAAGACAGACCAGGACACCTACAGACTCGAGTCTGTCACAGAGGTACCAACGTTGTTAGAGAACAGAATCAGCTCAGAGGCTGACAGGGATATTCAGAAGGTTGGACAAAAAAACGGGAAACTTCACAATAAAATGCTGTAATGCAACACAATACCATGTAAATGTTGTGTTATTTTTTTGTTTTAAATTTATTTTCCTGACTAGAATATTATATTGCGTGGTTATTTTGTAGTCTCTTCTTTTGATCTGTAACATTTTACTAACAAAACCAGTGATGATTTTTACTTATGAATTGAAGGAGATATATAACAAACAGAAATACACTACATAAAAAAATGTATGTGGTTTTCAATTTCTTTCCATTTTTAAACACACTAGGATGGTTAAACACACCCAGACTGCAGAGAAAGACTGTGGGAAACTGAAATCCTAGACTTTTTTTCTTTTCTTTTTTTGCATAAATTTAATGCAGTGGATCTTTTTCTACTCATTTTACTCATATAAGACGTCATTTCCTATTTTTCTTCCTAATATTGTTGAACTGTTGGGTAATGAATTGTTAATTCGTGCATATAGTAGACTGTGTGACCCTTTTTACATTAGGAGGACTGTTCTGGGAATAGGTGATCTGTTTTTATGGAAGCTATACAGCACACCATCCTCCTGTGTGATAGCATTATGCAACAACAACAAAAAAATTTGAATTAAAGTCAACAGTAGCCAGCTCCGTGGTCTAATCAATACTGACAGCTTGGTCAAATAATTTTATTTGTTTTTGGATTATGTAATAAGTCCTTCCTTTTCCCAACTCTCACACTTTCCAAACGTCTGCTGCACAAAAACATTGCTCCGGCATTATTTCTTTGTCGAGCGCCTTTGTGAATACACAATGTACTCGGTAAAATTATTATTTTTTTATTCTAGGGAAATAGCAAAGAAAAAATAATATGCTTAAATCAGTTTTTCTCTACCCACAAAATCGCATTAGGAAAACATGAGAAATTTCGGTGCACTTGTTAAGCAAGCTTGCTGCACAGCTCACCTTGTGCATGTTTTAACAATGAGTAGTCAGTCAGGCAGTAAAAGACTTTCATTTTACTTGGTTAGCCTGCTCTGTGGTCTGGCAATTTTTCATTTGTATTATTTTGTGCTTTTTCGTCTGTGTAGACAGTTCAAAGGGGCATTAGGCGGTTCAGAGAAGGGTAACATAATAACATCTCTGGGTCTGATTCAAAGGCAGGACATCGTGTCCCACGTGACACGTTCCTGAAGCAACGATGAGTCACGAAGAGAAAAATGCATTGCTGATTAACGATGGAGTAAAAGCACCCAGTTGAGGAGAATTTTTTTTTCACTCTTGAGTTGGTGCTAACAAACAGGATAATTAATTTAAATCAATCACTGTAACAATCCATCATTAGTTTTACTCAAAAATTACTATGTGACAAGTCAAACTTCAGCTTTGAGCAGCAGATCAGTTTCTCAGTGGTCCTAATCAATGAAATCCAGCCACACAGTCTCAGGCTTCAGGAACAGCCACAAGCACGGCGAAAGAGCTAGTTTCCCCTTTGGCGCACTGTAGTTACAAAACTGTAGCAGTATTTTTAAATTAAATCTACACGTCACATTACTTCACATTACACTGTGCACAGCTGAGTGATATCTTTCAGGTAATTGTTTAGTGCTCTGCTACAATATTTTACATTGTCTTTTTTTTTGTCTGTATGTAAGCTTTGTTATATTAGTGTGAATCTGTTTCACTCTCTTGCTCACATTGTTCCTACCCACCTGTTTGGTGCGCTGTAAATATTGCAGATGGGCATCTGCTTCGGAATAAAGTGTTTTTGATCTTTTATCTTGTGGTTATAAGCTGCACATTGTCTTTGGCGTCCAGATATTGTCAGATGTGCGATCACTGATTTTGTTCTTTTCCAGAACTTCTGATTTGATTCCATATGTTACTGGAAGATATTTGATCAGCCTAATATGTTAGATGATCAAAAGCAAAATGCATTATATATTAATCTAATCCCAGATTTGGTGTAGTCCATAGCTTGCATATTTGAAGCAAAGAGCATTTCACACTTTATCTCCAAACAGGATTACACAGTGTCGTGCAATAATCCTGCAGCATTGCTCGCTTTATATCCTGAGCCAATTCAAGAACTCCCAAGTCATCCATCTGGCATGCTTAATGCAAAGCTTTTAACCTTTGTGGTGCACTGTATTAATATGACACGGACAGCTGTTCAGTTCGCACATGTGCGCACAGTATCCTGTGCATTACAGTGCCATGCCGTCATCATCGCCGCATTATAGATTTGAACCCCTGCCTGGCTTTTTTTTTTTTTTTTTTTTTTGCAGTTATATCAGGATTGAGACAATGGTGACGTAATTGCTATTTAATTAACAGCCATCGTTTCCCCCCAGTTGTCTCTGCTGTGAATACACTGCAGAGCTTTTAATGAATGTGAACACTGAGGACTCCCAGGTGACCCGCCGGTGCTGTCGAATGATAATGAAAAGGGCGGATTCTTTGGCGCAAATTGTCTGAGCTACAGGTTTACCAGTTAATATTATTCATTCAGTGGCGATAAGGGACGCAGGCTTGACGTGCGTTTGGTCAGCGTGGAAAGAGTGATGATAAAGAACTAAATATGTTGGCTCTTTGAATCCAGAGATGAGAGGCGAGCCCACACCTGCACTAGACTCTGGGAACAATACAGCCTTGGAGGAATACGTTGAAATCGCATTTGTGCTGGCGAACAGCTTTATTCTCTCCAGCACTTCTGTTGTGGGGGCTGCGGCAAATGTTTTTGTCATACTGGCGGTGTATCGGCAAAAGTCCCTGCAAACTTCCAATAACGCGCTGGTGGTCAGTCTGGCTGTTATAGACTTTCTGAGATGTGTAATCGATTGCCCGGTTCTCTTAACCATCGTTGTGAGTGTGTATCGAAACAGAAAAGTGGACAGTTTCATCTGTGATGTACAAATGGCCTCTTTTTCATTCAGCTGCTGTATCCAGTTGTTAACACTGGCGTGCATAAGTGCAGAGAGATACCAGGCCATTGCACAGCCCTTCAAAGCCAATCAAAGGAAAAGGCGAATTAAGGCGCTGATTCCTCTCACATGGACCTTCGCTATTCTGGTGTCTGCTTTTTGTGTGATATTTTTGAGGGACTCACCTTTGCATATGAAATGCCAACGACAACAGAGAGAAACGTTATTCTCTTTTGACAAATTTGGGCTTTACATGCTATTCCCACTGTGGGCAGCGTGTTTTGGTGTCATCATTGGATTCTACGCTCGCATATTTGCCCTGGTGAGATCACACAGCCGTAAAATATTTGACAAAGGTACTTTTACTCTTGCTACAAAAGACAAAAATGAAGAGAAGCCGGAGAAAGAAAAAGCCGCAGTGGTGGAAAATGAATGTGGAAGATTTGAGCAAAACCCCACTTTGAGCTTAGGCAATGCTCAGACACAAGCTGAATCAAATTCACCCAAAGAAAAATCAGTACAATCTGTCTCCATCAATTCAGAGGATAAGAAAGAATTTAAAGATACAGTGAAGATGAGCAATGCAGAAACAAAACAAGCTCGGCCCCTTCCAGTACAGGCTACAGTGCTTACTGAGAAAAAACCTTTAAAAACAGAGCAGTCAAACCCCCATGTCATGAAGGTTGAAGTGAATCTGTCAAATGGAGATGCTGATTCAAATGTTAAGAGCTTAACCACAAAGCGGGCGTCAGTCAGTTTCAACACACAGGAACAGTCCAAAGACAGACTGAAGTCTGAAGAAGAATCCAAAGAAAACAGCCTCCTGCAGCCCCCATCATTGCCTGCACCAAATGTAAATTCTCAGTCTACTACTATCTTACTGACAGAGCCTGACCAAGCCCTAAACAACAATGAAGGAGAAACACTGACTGTTGCCTCACAGGCTCAGGTGACCGCTTCACCTCCAGTCTCAAGCAACGTCCCCGAAACAGAAGCAATGCAACTCCCTGCAGCGGTAGAAGGGGCTGTTTGCATGATGCCTTCAAAAGCAAGTAAAGAGAGAGCAAACAAAAAGAAAGAGGGCAAAATGGCTAAACGTGCTGGCTATATAATTCTAACCTTCCTCTTATTCTGGTTACCACTGATCACAACGATCCTGGTGAATTACTTGGTTCACAAAAACACAAACTCACAGGTAAGTGTCAGCAGCAATAGGCTTGTGATTACTCTCTATTATTGCAGGGTCGTTACCTTACAATACAAAACACGTCGGGGGGGCTGTTGCTGTGATTTAGTGCTATGTAAATGAAATGGGATTCACATGAAAATCTCTGTTGTGTTATACAAAGTTCATCTAAAGATCTCTTAATTCTTAAAATTGCCTATTGTTTTTCAGATAATTATCATTGAAGACATGGAGGTCCTGTCAGTGTCTGTTGCCTGCATCACGTCACTAAGTGACCCAATCATATACGCTGCAGTAAACCCTCAGTTTTCTTCAGAATTTTATCGGCTGAAAAACAGGATGAAGTCCATATTTCATAAGAAAAGATAGACTTTCCACCCCTATAAACATCTTTTAAGTGGCTCTAGACCCAATGACTGTATTCATATTCGCTGTGCAAGTGAATATAGAATTTAATAACGTTTGTCTAGTCATTGTCCAAATATTAACTAAATTAAATCCCAGTTGTCAAAGTGGGATTTTTCTTTTTTTTTTATTTGGGTATAAGAAGCTTATTATTTTATATGCCGCTGCGTTATCTTAGATTTTATGCAGGCTGACTTCTCAGCAGTTACTAAACACTGCAGAGCAGCGGCAGTGCATGCTGTGAGAAGCTGCCTGGACTAACGCAATCAGCTCTGCAGGGGGGGTCGGTGCTGCGCTCTCTGTCAAACAATCACAGAGGCCTGCAGTCTGTCTCCAGAGACCCTGCAGCCGCGACCCACCGCTGGGCCAGTCAGGTCTTCACATGTCCTCCAGCAGCACCTAATTATTATGCCATCCTGTTATAAAAGATGCTCTTTGAGTAGTCGTGAAAAAAACATTATCAGATCTACCTAATTATTTTCTTTCTTTTTTTGTAATAAAAGAAAAGACATGGGTCATTTAATGGATGTTTCCATAGAGCTACAGTATTTATTCTATCCACTGCACCAAATGCACAATGTGTGTGATCATTTGTCCCCTTTTCCCTTGCCGCTTACATATGTGGTCCGTGACAAGACTTGTGTTTCATTAAAAGCAGAATTTACATCATGACATACCAGGCTCACTTGTTTCCTTCCCACCAATCTCGTTTTTACTGACAAACCAACAAGAAGCAGAGACATACTTTAATAAAACAGAATTCGGCAATGAGAGCATGCAAATCCTTAATTCAACCAGTTAACAGACAGAAAGAGAATGCCAACAAGTGTCAACTAAATCTAGAAATAAGAGAGGAGCCAGCTTCAAATGCGGTTGAGAAAGTCCTAACTGAGATATTTACAACATGAAAAGTGTACAAAATGGCCCTTTGACACAGTAAACTCCACCGAGGCTTGCTTTTGAATATCATAAGAATTGGTAAGTCATTGGGATTGATGCTCAAAACTCTCTCATATAGTTTTCAGTCCAAATACCACGTGTCCACATTAGGGTTAGTATTAGTTAAGTGCCGCCGAGAACATTGACTTATGTTTCTACCTTGTGACCTAACTAATATATACCCTGTATAGTTCTCAGTATCAATTATTAACTAACGACAGCGGCTGTCACACAGATCCATATCAGGATGTCAAATATGTAAGCTAACACAGAATTCGTCATTTGACTTTCACTTTGCACATTTCACAAACATGGTCAGGATGCGTAGTATATTTTACTCGTCATCGAGCGATGTTTTTCAACTAGTTAATGAGTCAGTTAATGAAAAATCACAACAGTTATCCATTCTGGTGGATGTACGATTTTTGGAATTTACAACAGTGAGGGGAGCGTTAGAAAACATGTCATTGAAGGGGGTTGGGGTTCAAAACAATCGATGTAACAAGCAGTGAGTGAAACGAATGTCCCGCGATGTGTAAAGGAGACTGATTTAATATTCACAAAGATCGCCTTCAGGCAATGAATATGTGTGCTTTGTCATCAGAGGCCATCGAGAATGACCTTTAAACATCCGCATTTCCTCCTTAAATCATAGACAACAAATATGACTACATTACATAATCAAAAATAAAGTTGTTTTTCTTTTTTCCTCAGTATTTTTAGGCAACGACGATGACCACGCGTTCCTCGCCCTCTTCCTTGCTCTTGCTGTGCTTGATGGAGCAAGATCTGCTGGTTCACTTCCAAGGCAGCTGTCCACATCATATTAATACCATGCAGAGTTTGACATCAGATGAGATAACAACTTCAAAAAAACCCTCGACCTCTGTTAATCTTATAATCCTTCTTAGATTATGGCAGGTTGATGCTCGGTGGTCCCTCTCCTCAGCATCTGGTGCTTCTTGAGACCAGTTAGCCGATCAGATAGGCGTGACATCTACAAGGCAGATACTCGGACAATGTTGCTCTGAGAGTATGCTGTGGTGGTGGAGCCGTCCCCGTCTGATGAAGTCACCACCGGGGCAGATAAGCTGACCATGGAGGGAGTGATGTAAGGTTCATCACATTTCAAGGGCACGGTCTCGTCGAGTTTAGCGTTCAGGCTGGCGCGACTGTGAAAGAAAACAAGGGATTAAAAGAGGCTGAAAGGTCTGAGCTTGCAAAATGTACACGGCACAAACCTGTTATTTAATATGTTCTTGTACAACGTATACACGAGTGAGGATTGTATACATGCATGAATACACGCCCTCTTTATGAAGAGGTTCATCCTGTGATGCGTATGCTGTAAAAATCCTACATTTTTAATTTACTGTCCGAGAACAGTCCTTTATTGTAAATACTGAAATGATGTTCCACACACGGCAGACGTTTTCAGAGCAATAGCACCAGACTACTCCACCCAGTTTGGAATCGCAGATTCTTTTTTTTTTTGACCTTCTGAAGTAACAAGAACTGCAGATCATTTATATTGTACTTGCCTATGGGAATGGGTTTGCTCAGGGGAATCTGCTGCCACCCGTTGTAATGAAGAGGAAGGGTATTTAATTTGTGGTACTCACAGGGGGGGAGAAAAAAGACCTGTTACTCTGCATAATCCACTGAATGTGCTTTCAACAGTTTTCATGAGAGCAATTAGGCAGGAAGCAGTTCCAGTGAAAAACAGTGAGGATTATTCCGAGATAACAGGAATACTGTGCTGGGATAACAGCATTAACTACAGCACGTTAGTGCGTTTATGTCAATACAACCTACATACTGTATATGCCAGCTGTACTGTCGATCTTTTTTATCTTTCCTTGTGCTTGTAGCTGCTTGTTCATTTGTTGCTCTTTGCTGTTGCTGCATATCTCCACATTTATTGAGGAGGGAAGAGGTGACATCACTTGTAGATGTATGATCAAATCAAAAAACACACAAGTCATTCATTTAATTTCTCAGCATCCCAAAAAGCACTGTGAAGTCAGAGAGACTACATACCTGTTAGCCACTGGCCTCTCTCTTATCTGTATGGTGCTGAGCTCCTGGTTATTTGTGCTGGGCAGGCTGAAGCTGCTCTTCTTTCTATGGCGTCGAGAGCAGCATGAGCCCAGGCCGTGAGGAGACGAGGACACGGAGGAGGTCCGGGAGCCGGACTTGTTCATTACGGAGACCTCCATGCAGTTTGCCTGAAAGGTCTGCTCGTCCACAAACTCGTGATTCTGGAGAAGGAAAAAAAATTGGATTCAGTGTTGCTTATGAATCACTCTATTACATCGATGATTGGCTCTGCTCAATGATGAGTAAAGATGTTTCACAGTAAAGCCTAAACAGACTGAACAGAATCCACTGCAAAATTGTTTAATAATTGTAAAATGAATCATCAAGGGAATAGAAATATATTGGCCCAGATGTCCATATTAAGTGCCATCTGTGAGAACATTCACAACTGTTATCGCTGTGAAAAACGAGCAGAACTTGAAGGTCAGCCTTCAAGTGTGTTTCGGGCCCCGCCAGCAGGTGGCAGAGAGAGGCTGTGCAAGATCTGATGCCGTGCCTTGAATCTTATAGCTCACCTCTGTCACTCTTGGTCTGCTCTCTGTCTGTTATCTATAATGCACACTGTAAAAGACCTGATGTAAACCTTTTCATCGCCACGGGAATAGTGTGAAACCATTTTTTGGAGCTTTTCCCAGATGAGAGGCAAGCCGGTTAATAGGAGAGGGATCATCTCATGACAAGAAAAACTGATTCACTCCCTGCATACGTCTGTTTGCAGAGTTTAGATCTGCACGAGTGTAAACCTCATGTCAGAGCAAAGAATAAAAGAGGCCCCTGCATCTCTAAATTATTGATACAGTAAAATGAAGTACGCCGGTTTGTTTAGATGAAATAATCCTTGTGGATGGCAGAGCCACGGTATCTTTAGCATGTCGCTGGCTCGGGGACTCAACATTTCCCAGCCCCATTTAAAGCTATTTTTAACTTATGCTGAACAGGAAATAGATTGTACAGTCTGAGCATAGATGAAAAAAAAAGTCACTTTATTTCTATTTGCAACTCACTGTAACAGGTTGGAACTACTGATGATACAGCGCAGACTGTAGGAGTAATGCAATGAAAGGAGCTTTTTTTCCCCCCCACAGAGAGCTATTTTAAACCGTGTGAAGTCTGTTACCAAGATAGTAAAAAATGAAAAATACCAAAGCTTTCATCTTCCAATCGACATGGCTTTAAGGTCTTCTAAGATTTTTTTTTGTCTGTTTTTTTTACCGTGGTCTTTTCCAGGCAGTGCAGCAGATGATGATGCTGGCTCTCGAAAGGAGGGCTGGGGGCCTTCCCCACCAGGGCTTGTCCTGCCTCCTTGGAAGCCTTGATAGAGTTAAAAGAGAAAAACAAAACAAAACAAAGAGAAAACCACAGCAGTGTAGATGAGCAGGGTTACATTCTGCTAGTAGACAGTCAACAGCAAGTAGCTCGGCGATGTAGTGGCGAGGACGCAAAAGCACCGAGAGTTGAAATGCTGATCTGTAGCATGGCAGCCAGTCCACTGAACCTAGTGACACGGCGACGTTTTAGGGGTGGGTGCACAGAAACTGCGACTAATCGCAGCGTCTTTACGCTGAGAACACTGGTTTTCTTATTCTTTCACAAATTTGATGATAAGAAGCAGGAAAAGTCCAATTCGAGGTGAAATCGCTTTCAATGCGGCAGCAGTGGCACACCTAGACACAGATCAAACACAGCGTACCAAACACAGCAACAGCATTCTGCACCATAATGTCACCACACATATGAGACACACTTTATGAAGCTTTGCGCGGCTCTGGGATGGACGGTATGCTGTATTAGTCTGCACTACAACCTGGGATGCTCTAGAAAATACGCACAAAACACACAGCAGATCCAAAAAAACAACCCCCCCCCCTCCCCCTACAAAAAAACGTCCCCAAATCAAACAGCAACAAAAAACAAACCAAAACAGAGTTTAGAGGAGATGTGGGCTGAGCGGACAGCCTCCACAGGTGACATACTGTCATGTAAGCCTTTGTCTCCCTCCTTCCCCTCCAAACCCTGTTGGACAGACATGCAGAGCTTGGTTAATGAGTAAGTGTGAGTGTAATGGCTGAGGCTCCACCAGAAGGCAAGTATGCCTGCCTGGTCCTCCTGCTGCATGGACAGAGAGAGGGAGTGTTGACAAGGAATGTCAATGCTGCAGCTGAGAGGGTTGATGTAAGAGAGGACGATCACACTGAAGCACTGGAATGACAGCAGCCCCTGTGTTACAGCATGAAAAGCTTCCCCGTGTGTGTGTGTGTGTGTGTGTGTATAGTGTGTGGTGGCATGCCCCCCCACCCCCGACCACCCTACCCACACCCCTGAGCAGAGTGACATGCAAGCATCAGCGAGGCCCCGGTCAGTCAGCCCCCACCCCCCACCCTCAAGCCGCTGCTTGGCCCCCAATCCGGTTTACCTCCTCCAGTGAGTCGATCAGGAGCCCATTTTGTTTGTAGCGCATATAGGCATTAGTGCCTCGAATCTTCACAGCGCGGATTCTAGCGAGGCGAGTTTTCTGTTTGAACAAACAGACCTCTGTTTTAGCCTCTGACAGTTTGTCCGTCACACTAATTGGCTACGTCTTCCTCCACCACCCCTCCTCCCCACCCCGCCCTCTCCACCCGCCCCGGCAGCCGCAGTATTTAGTGGAGAAAGGGTATGCCCAAATCTACGATTAGGAAGTTCTGCCTTAGCAAACACTTTTAGAAAGAAATGCACATATTGCTATCGAAAAAGCTGCTGACACAATACTCTGAAGATCATTTGTTCTGTCATTGTCATTCGCTCTTTTATTTCCCTCGTTCCCCCCCCCACCCCGAAATATACTTAAGCAAGTCAATACACACATACGCTCAATAGACACACAATACGCAGAAGCACAATAAAAGATTAATATTCTGGAAGATAGCGTTTGCCCTGTCATTCTGTTACATGCGGATAAGACAGGGACAGAGAAGAGGGGGAGAAAAAAGAGGGCAGATAGAAGCAAAATAAAGACAGATAGGGGGGAAAGGAAGACAGTGGCAAAGGAAGGGGGAAGGCGGGGAGCCAATACCCTCTGTGCTCGTCGTTTCTCTGCCCGCTGGCTTTGGTGGTAGATACGGCTGAAGTTTGACACTATGACAGGGACAGGCAAGGCAATGACCAGCACCCCACTCAGAGAGCATATGGACCCAAACACCTTCCCTACGATTGTTTTTGGCACCATGTCACCGTACCTGAAACACACACAAAACAGATAAGAGTGAGCACACTGGGTAGGAACACAAACAGGGAAAAAATCTTCCACTCAGGAGGTTTATTTAGCATGTCAAGTTGTTGCGTGTGCCTAACGGTATTTTTAATAGTCTTGAAGATAGTTACGGTGACCTTGGGATATTTCACACCTTCAAATAAAAAGTCACACATTTGAAGTGGGCGAAGAATAAATAGGACTCCCTCTGATGTCACCTCTCCCCGGCCTAGTTTCTACACGCCATTGCGATGTTCCTCTTTTAAAACACTGTTTCATATATAATTACACACCTGCTGGCATCGGCTAATGCTTTCACGTCGTGACCAAATGCGCTACATATCCTCCGTGACCTCTGTTAGCCAAACAGCTTGTGAAAGATACAGCGAGTAGTATCACGTTGAGTAAAAGCAAAAAGGGGAAGGGAGCAGTGTGATGCCGAACCCCGGAGAGATCGATTAAGTCTGTGGTCCTCGGCGACAGCCACCGGTGTGTTTTGTTCTTATTCCCACATTAAAATGGAATATGGAGACGCAAAGGGAACCCAAATATTCAACACAAGGAGAAAAGAGCTTTTCTGGCACACATGCATGACACTGATGAGGAATCTTTCATGGTATACCTGAGCACAAATAAAGCATGTCATTTTTCAGTGGTGAACAGGCTGCATTCAACAGATTAAAGGCTGCGCTTCTGTCAGGTTGGACTGACTCATCCCCAGTCCCATCAAATTAACGTGCCTGTCTTCTGCTAGAAAGCCAAATCCGTCTCTGTTCAAGGCAAACCTGAAATCAAACTGTTTTCGTCACCTCGTTTTCTTTACTTTAGCAGGCACCCTCAGCACCACTTACTAAGCACTAAAACCAAGGATACCAAACTGAAGAAGAGAGACACTTCCTGACTTTCCCTGAAACTTTGTTGTCTTTTCACCTGTTTTATAAAAGACATAGCTTTGGCGATACTAGGCCATTATATGCTCCTATTTTGATGACAAAATTTGATTTAATGCCAACATGTGCAACAAAGGTAATTCAGGTCATTCATAAACACTGTTATAAAATGATATCGCAAAATGTAAAAAATTTGCAATACAATCCCAGGCATGTCTGAAAGCAAGAGACATGCCTGAGGCTAATATGTTCACGAGCTTTTGAAAAACTGCCACAGTGAAGGTTTTAAAAACCTCAGTTTCTATTTTTAACATGTGGTCGAATAAAACGTGGATTTTGTCTCACAATGTTAAAGGTGTGCAGCTTTATTTCCTTTTTTGATGTTGGACTGTGCGCCGTGTTGAGCCTGGGTTATGCTTGATTGCGGACACGGACACAGATAGCTGGACGGCCGAGTTGTAGTTCTTATTATACTTCTTTAAAGTCCACTGCCTGGGCGCGTGCGTAGTTGGTGCACTGTTATCTAAATTATCTGCGCTGTCACAAAATTTGGACAACCTCATACTCAATGTTTGATGATGAAATTTATGTTATGGGGCCCAAGCAGAAATCGTGTGCACGGAAAGTAGAAATCTCGCTTTATTGTTTGTGGACTTTTAATTGGCCAACATTTCTTTACGGTTAAGGTTATATTACCACTTGTTCTTTTGGTATGCATGAGATAATTTTTTGCATGTGGACAGCGACTTTTTTCATAACGAATTTGGAAAAAAGTCCCCGTTGCCTGAAGCCTAAAATGGGAGCTACTTTAACAACCTCTAACAAATCACAGTGCTTTGTAAAACACGCAAGAAAATGTGGAAATGATAAATTCAATTCACCTCATGAGGCACAAACACGCCGTCTATTACAACCAGGCTACAAGGAGGAGATGCTAGCAGCTGGTGATGTGCAAAACACATGTAAACAAATGACTCCACCGAGCTTCGGGAGAGGACTTGCTAGTTTCACTCCATGTGACGGGAAGAGCAAATGGTGGACGGAAATTACTGATGCGATTACAGGTGGATAAACAGGGTGGTTAAAAAGCTGGATCTAAGATACAACATCCCAGGTAGGAAACATCTTTCAGTTTTATAAGGCGACAACATTGTGCAGCTACTGAGAAGTTATTTATACTTGAATTTTCCTGGGAAAATGCTACCTTTGCATTTGACTTGCAATAGATTCACACTTCAAACTAGGTAATGTGTCATCAGTGAAAATGTGTCCTCATTGTAAAGTTTCTTCAAACATTGTGATATAAGGTTGAGGCTATAATGGCTGCCCCTAGCACTCAGGAGGAAATGCTGGAAAAAGATGGAGGTATTCCTTCTCAAAAAAGGCCAAATCAGATCATTTTTGTGTTTGCTGGGTGGTTAAACAAGCTGTAGCCCCTGCTACTATATACACATTTCAATATGGATTTTTGTATGGACGATGGATTTTATGTAAATAACATTTTTCTAGTGCTTTACCAGCTCACTGCTAGTTTATTACAAATGCATCCAATGTAGTATATTATATATGTATTTATGTTTTTTTTCCTCATTCATTTATGACATGTGTGGGTTGCATAGACTACCGTTTGCACTCCAGATAGTCCCCCCTGGGACAATAAAGACAATTCAATCCAATTCAAACATTTAGCTGCAAACACAGTGACATCCTGTAGCCACATGCACATCTGATTACTTTTCAAGATTATTACTTTATCAAATAGAAAATCCCGATGTCTCCAAGGCAATTAACAGATCCAGGCAAAAAAAAATCTGCAAATTCATTCGTATGAGCATAATCTGCATATTCACATGCGGCTCTGTGCTGACATGCTAGGCCACCAGCAGCACTGGGACTTAAAATGAATGATTCAGGGCACGTATGTTTTCCGTGTCATCTAAACATCTCTCCGTGTGCTGCAGAGGACCGGCAATTCACACGTTCGCAGGTGGGTGAGATGAATGAGTGAGACCCTAATGCGCAAATGACCTGAGTAGACCATTACCTCCCGAGAGTAAGATGAATGCAGGTAGGAAGGAACATCAGCATTGCTCAGTGGCTGTGACAGTAGTCCGTCTCTCAAGTGAGGCAGGGTAATGTGAATGTATCGCTACACGGGAGGTTGACTATTTCATAAATGAAGTTGTCTAATGCCCACAGACGTCTGCTTGAGTCATTAGCTTCAGGTTTCCATCATGTTGGGCCCAACAGTCTGGGCTTTTACAGAGCTCGGGCGGAAAGATGTAAAAGTGGACATTTTAATATCACGCTTGATGGGACTTCATGTACAACAGTTTGCTTTCAAGTTGACTAATCTCGCACAGATGTCATTAGTTTTGCAGTTCATTACAGGTCAAGTCATTTTCCTATCTAATGGCAGACAATGACTGAAAGCAGGTGTCAATTATAGGTTCTGGATGTGCTGCTGAAAGCCTATTAAGAGATCCATAAAAAAATGGAAGGCAGCATTCCCTCGCATGTACTTTACTGCGGCGAGTGGAGTGGTGAGATGCAGGCACGTCTGTTGTGGAATACAGTGTGTTGCAGTGACTGTCTTCTTTTGGAAGGAAAGCCTAGCAGCGAGCAGATGAGAAAGGAAAGCAGCAAGCGCACTCTGGAGAGAAACAGTAACAGTGATGGATTGTTCATAAGGGAAAGCTGAGATACACAAAGCCTCGTGGATGATGGCAGAGGTAGGAATTAACAGCAGCTGCAGATTAAAGTAATGTTCCTACTTTGTTCTTGTTGTCTCTAAGTACCAGGTACTCACATTTGCTACCCCTGCTACCCTAAGCTGACACGGGTGAGACACAAAGACGGATGACCGGATTCTTATCCTCACTGCAGAGGATGAAGAGGAATGTCGAGATGACTGAATATCAATTCCCCACTTCCACCCACCTAAAACCATACCGTGCTCGCGCTGGCGCCGGCCTTTAAAAACAACGCATTCTGTAGAATTGTCCGACAGCGAGATGACAGCATTGCAGATGAAGCTCGGCGCGCCGAGAGAGAGTGAAACCGCGGGGTTGCCTCAGACTGTAGGAGAAATGTCAGACTCAAAGGAATATTTGAATTCTAGAAACGGGGGGATGAATGTCCTCACCTGGCTTTGGATAATAGACCAATCAAACATTCATGAGTCCCTGTATCAACCTGCGTGGCAGAGTTTGTGCAGTTGACCTTAAAAGCAGTGCGGTATTCCATCAGGGGTGCTCTGAGACACTTCTGTACATGACCTCACCGCCTCACAGCTAGCGCCAACACCTAAAAACAGGGACACGCTTGGACACACAGGAACTGACACACAGTCAAAACAGACGCTTGTTTGTGTGTATATGTGTGTGCGCAGGGCCTTTAATTTGACATATAGTTAAACCAATCCTCCTTCCTAAAAAAGCAATCTTGTTCCTTGATTGTCTTCCAGAACCCTGTGTCTGAAATCTGACTGCCATCTGGTTAGTGGGAAGTGAAAAAAAAAAGATATCTGGATGACTTTGCAGACACGTCATTTGTTTATTTCTCTTTTCAGAGACAGGGCAGGTTCGTTTTTTCCCCCTAAAGATTAAACTAAATGAAATGAACCTTTTCAGGTAATAAACTATGCCTGAATGGCCTTTTCTGGTCATTTGTACCACTCTGTCTGCTACACACAAATAGGGTTTGGTGGCTGATAGAAATTACAAATCCCTACTTTAAGCGAGCATAAGCTCAGGTTTCTGAAATAAGCACAGAGGCCTGAAGTAATCACACTGCTGTCCCAACAACTCACATTCCAGTTGTGATTACTGCCAACAGCTTACCAGTGCTGACAATTAGGATCCAAGGAGGGCTGCGGCAGATCTTTCAGAGGCTTCGTCAACAGCATCGAAGACCAGTCGCCCAGCGGCGCCTCTGTCGCGGTCTTCCTACCCTCCTTTTTGTGGATTTTAGTACGAAACTAGCTCACACACTGCACAAGTGACTATAGTAAAGTGCATTAATCAAAGCAAAGTGAATATCTAACGTTCAAAAAGCCTCACAGTGTTCGCCTGTGCCGATAAGCGATCAAGGTCAA